TATACTCTTATAATCACAGCTTTCACTCTAGTAATAAGATGTGCCCATGTGATATAAATTCCAACAATATTATGACATTTTGGACTAATCTTTATGATAGACGGTCAAACAAACTTTTTTTAAAAATCCTAAACCAAATTTCAATGTGTGTGATTATGTTCGAATAACTAAATATAAACATGTTTTCCAAAAACGATATGAATCAAATTGGAGTGATGAAATATTTATTATATCTTCAATAATTGATAGATCTCTATGGGTTGTTTATACAATAACAGATTTACAAAATGAACCAATAGTTGGTACTTTTTATGAAAGAGAATTACAGAAAATCACTTACAACCCCACCTCACAATATAAAATAGATAAAATAATTGACACTCGTTATTTAGGTAACAGAAAAGAAGTATTAGTGAAGTGGAAAGGTTATCCAGATAAATTTAACAGTTGGATTTTAGCTTCTAGTTTAAAAGAAATATGAATAAAGAAAGTTTTTATTTAACTTTGCTCAGCAATAGTTCAATGGAATACTTTCCTGATAACAAGACCACAAATTTTTCAACGAAATTAGCAGAAGCTATTAAATTAGAAGGCGAATGGTCGGTTGGAGTTGTCGAGTTTCAATATCCATGTACCATGTTTACTGTTCAAGATCATGAAAATGTTATATACATTACAAAATCCATGTTAATGCCTAATGAAGATAAACCATCCATAGTGTACTACAAAAACATATTCCAGCTACCAACTATGATAATGTGGAGCATATTTTAAGAGTGTTAAATGGTATCGGAGAGAACTTGAAATTTCGCTATGATGAAATAACAAAATTTGTGTCTATTTCTGTTTTAGATAAAAATATAACATCCGTAACATTATGATTTCTTAAATTTACGCGAACACTACACATTGAATAAAACTATTATTTACGGATTTTATCGCGTTTAATTACTTTAATTTATTTTTTATTATTATCCCGACGTTTCGAGTGCTTTACAGCACCCATGGTCACGGGGGGGGACTGAGATGTTTGACGTCCCAATGTCATTGTTAGCCCGGCTACCTTCAGTTTTTGAATATTAATTTTTGGTCCGATTTACGCAAAACGAACTTACAGTATCTTGAAGTCTTGCAGTGGTATGCTTGGGTTTGGGTTTAATTTTGTTAATTATAGGATCCCAAGCAGATGGCAGCACCCAACCATCTCCTCTATTGAAATTAGGATGTTTTTTAATTTCAATAGCCTCACGTATCATCCTTGGTAGGAATCGGTGTTCTTTTGCGAGGATTTGTGGTTTATCAAATCTGATGTAATGACGGGGACGATCCTGAACATGTTCATAGACTGCAGACTTCCTGGAGCGTCGGTGCTTCACGTCAGCTATATGTTCTTTCACGCGGGTTTTTATGGATCTTTTTGTTTGACCTATGTAAGAGACCACCACCACCACGTTCACAATCTAACTTGTACACTCCTGCATCTTGTAGAGGGATATTACACTTGACGGATGGTAAAAATTGACTAATCTTCTTCGGCGGCTTGTAGTGTGTTTTAATGGAAGCTCGCTTCAAGATGTAGCCAACCTTGTCTGTGACTCCTCTGACATATGGTAGTACAGCAGGCACACGCTCGACTGTGGCCGGCTTCACTCGGTCACTGTGACGTAGGCGCGGGATCCGAAGCTTGTTGTCTTGCAACAATTGCTTGACATGCTGAAGTTCGGCGGCCAGATGTTTTCTGTCACAGATCCCTCGTGCTCTCTGAAACAAAGATTTACCCACGGTAGCTAACTGTGAAGGATGATGGTGAGATTCACCATTTAAATATCGGTTGGTATGGGTCTTTGTTCTATACTATGCATATCGAGCATACATGGAAACCCTTTTAAACTATGCTCCTGCTGCTAAACAATCTCATCTTACTTGTAATCTTTGGTATGATGATACAGCAGGAAAAATGGATTCTACGGATGGTAAAACATAGGATTTGTTAAAAGACAGGAATTGATTAGTGAAAGTAACGAAATAGAAATGATTGGTCATCTTCACGGTGACATTTTCAACCAAGATAAATTTTTAATTAATGGTGTTGAAATAAGTGTTAAATTGGTTCAATCAAGAGAGAGTTTTAATTTAATTGCTGGGTCAAACGATGTAAAGTTTAAAGTTTGCATTACGGACGCAACTCTTATTGTTCGACGAGTACGAGTTAATCCAAGTGTATTACTCGCACATCAAAAAGTTTTAGCTTCTACCACTGCTAAATATCCTATTACACGAGCTGAAGTAATAGTTTTAACAATTCCATCGGGTGTTCAAGGAAAAACTCTGGATAGAGAGTATGCACTGCGTACATATGCGGTGAAGTCTGGTGAAGCAGCTCAAGCGAAACTTAAGGGATAATAATCCAAATTTAATTTAACAAACTCAACAATATTCATTGCTTCATGTGTTTGAAAAATTCGTTTGTTCGATCGCAAAAACAACGCAATGGATATTGTAAAACTGTCAAAATGGTATGGTTTGCCATTTTAGGTGTAAAACAATTAATCTACGGATTTAATTTCTATCTACATAAAAGCCATAATGTCAGTCACATTTATTCTTCAGATAAGTTATTTCACGATTGAAAATTCAGCGCTGTACGTATATAAATACCTACGGAGTAAAGGAAATTAAGCAACAAATTCGAAATACGAAATGAGAACAAATTCATATTAGTTAAAATATCGATATCAGCTACGCATTTTGCCGAGTTACAACCCTATAAAAGACGGCCATTTTATGTGCCAGATTTTTGTAGGTAGTCACGCTAATTCTGTAGGTAACTCTAGAAATGTTTGACTATAGAAAAATAATAGTTCCCTTCGGCGGCGGGAGCTCCAAACGCGGCCTTCGGGGGTTTTTTATTATTTTTTTTTTTTTTTTTTGGGGGGCCGGGTCGGTGTTTTTGGCTGGGGGTTTTTTATATTTTTTTTTTTGCGTTGTTTAACAGGGCGGGGGGGTTTTTTTTTTGTTTTTTCGGCATTTTTATTCAGAACCTCGCTCGTAATGTATACAAATATGAGGCCTATCGATGCTGACATCATAATAATACTGTCATCTCTTTTTAAACTTCTTAATCTCGTGTAAGTGAAAAAGGATGATAGTGTTTTTGACACCTACTATAATCGCAACCCTTCATTCTAGTCTCATTAGAAAACCTATTTGCGGTTTTTGTTTTTTTTTTGTTGTTTTTATCCTCTCGCTGTTTAGTACCAGTTGTTGGTCTTAATAACCTGATCCTGTATTGCACAGACAAAATCCTTGGTTTCCCTGAAGAGGTCACCGAAACGTAGCCAGTTGAGGCGACTGTATCTAGGAAGGGTTCGTGTAGAGCCCTGTAGTACCTCCCGTAAAGCTCCTTCTCCTTCCATACGATCACCCAGTCGGAAATGCTATGTACTGCTGGGTCCTGCCATTGATCGTTGGCTAAGGATAGAGGGGTAAGCCCTTTATCGCAAGAAATTACGTCATTATAGAGTGGATCATCCAATCTCGCCAGGAAAACGCCTGCAAACTTCGCGATTATGCGTGATGAGCGCGCTCAGAAAGCCAGGCCATCCATGCTTTCGCGGCAAGTACAGCCTCATTAACGACGATTTCGGATGATGAATCCTATGGGACGTCATGGTAGTGCGGACTTTTCTACCCAGGGCGTTAAGTTCAGTGTGAGTCCACCTGAGTATGCTAAAGGTATACATGAGAACAGGCATGACCCAACCGTTATATGCGTGTGTCTTATTCACACCGGACAAAAGGCTGTTAAGCACTTTGGTCAAGCGTGCACAAAACACGTCGCAAACTGACTTGTTTCATACTAGCCTCATAGATACCGATGTTCTAGGACATACCCAGGTATCGGTATGTTTTAGCCTCGGAAAGGGTCCTTACGTTGACGTGCATAGATAAGTCTATGCCCTCAGAGTCAGCAACCCTTCCTCTTTCAACATTATTATTGTTATTATTATATATGTATTGCACAGACAAAACCCTCGGTTTCCCCGAAGAGGTCACCGAAACGTAGCATAGAGGGAGGCTACTGTATCTACGAGGGGCTCGTTATTGTTATTATTATTATTAGATGAAATGCATAAATAAGTTTGTAAACTTGGGGTGTTTTTACCCACAGATAGTACACCGTGTGTCCGTGGCCATATGAAAACATTCTAACAATCTTTTATCGATGTTATTATTATAGAAATATTGATATGGGATGCCCTATTAACCGCCAATTTATCCTCTCGGTAAAGTGTAGGTATACACGTTTTTATTGTATGCCAGGTCCATATTATGTTTTTTATACATATATTATGTTTTTTATGATATACTTCTAAGTCAGTGGTTATTGGGAGTTTTAGCGGAAACTTGGCCGACGACGGACTATCGCTCCTGTTTTGTCGCTTGAATAATGGTTTGAAGTGGATTTTAATTCGTATAAGTGATGTAATTTTGTAAATTAAGCGTTTGCGCGTGTGAACTATTAGAGAAAACGACGAAACAAGTGTTTTGATGTTGATTTAAACCTCAAGTTAATTTGATCGCTTGGGCGCCGTACGAACTTGAGTGGCAGCGCTACAACAGTCCGCTGGGTTGAGCTGTCATCAAAATCTCCCAAAAACTTCACAATGTGACGCATCAGCATATCATGAAGAAAAAATATATAAAATGAAGATATTCTGAAAGAAATGAATGGCTAGTACCCAGAGCCGTAAAGCCAGTTAAATTAAAAAAGTCAGTGGTTGTTTCTTATAGTCTGTGGACAACCAAACAATGTCATTGTCGTTATGTATTTTTATTTTTTATCATTGTTGAGCTGTTTATGAGCCTGCTAATGTTATCATCAAGTTTTTATTGTAAAATAATATACAACTGCTTATCATAAAATTAATTAGTAAGTAATATGTGTATGTGTTAAGAAATTCGTTAGTTGGCTATTCCTTTCGACAGCCCATCTAAGAATGCAACCTCTAATATCACCGATTGGTAAGAAAAGTTTGCTAACAAATTGCAGCAACCTTTGTGTTATTTGTCAGATATTTGTTTTATTTACATATTATGTTATGTTTATTTCCTATGTGTAATATTGTATTTAATATTAATAAGATATACGAACGAACTTACGCCTTTTACCGTCCCATACCATATAATCAAGTGGAATAGTAGTCAAGCGCGGACTTACGATGGTTCAATAGTAGGCATGAGTCCAATATATAGTGCATTGGGGTAAGGTCAGTGATGGGGTAAGACCGTAAAATTCAAATTCCTGGTGAATTATGCTATATTTTTGAAAGCTAGCAATATGGTACAAGACTCCATTTTTTTCTGCCCCCACCCCAAGATTCAGCCAGTCGCTTCCAAAAGTGGGGCGGGTGCTGCGCAGTATTTTATAAAACAAGGTAATTTCTGTATTTTTTTGTCTGTCCGGTCTTTCCCAATCACTTTTATTTGCGATTTTTAGGGACGTCCGGTCTTACCCTTTTATGGCCAATTCTTCATCATGCATATAAAAAATTATGCCTTGTCTTCGCACATGTTTTAAGCAGAAACTGTTGAGTTTTGAAAAGTAAAAGCTTCTTATAGCTAAATTACGTGTAACTATTAAAGATTTGCGCCATGTTTCAAAAATCTGACATATACGGATGTCGAGAAAATAAAGTTTTTGCCCAACTCTTTTAACTAGTCGAAATTCGTCCGGTATTACCCCAATGCACCTTATCATAATGTAACTCATATAATCGTTTTCAGTCAAAGTTCAATAATTTATCAACCTACAATATACTATATCACACAGCCACCAATCACCATACACATCTATGTCACGCTACATTATAATTATGTGGAATAGTAATCAAGCGCTGACTTACAATGGTTCAATAGTAGGCATGAGTCCAATATATCATAAGGTAACTCATGTTATATCTAAACATATAGTCATTTTCAGTCAAAGTTCAATAATTTATCAACCTACAATATTCTATATCACACAGCCAGCAATCACCATACACATCTATGTCACGCTACATTCATATTCAAAACCAATGAAGTACCTATACATATTTGATAAATGTTAGTAATTACAGTTCCTATGGACAAAAAACCGTCAGCAAGCACAGTACCCGCAGAAAACCCGCTCATAATAAAAAATATTTGAAATTTTGAAATAACATTTATAAGTAGTGATCTGTACTAGCTTGGGATTGAGGGATTTAATTGACAACATAAGACAATCATTAAAGATGATTTAACTTATCTTCATATTATCATTTATATTTTAAAATCTTTAAATTTTTCGAACAATAATATATATATATATATACTGTATATTCGTCACTCTTAATATTACTCATAATATTTTGTGGATTTTAATTGCAATCAGTTCAATCATTACGAAGATTAGCTTGGGCATACACATAAACGAAAATTTTAAAATGCAGGAAATAAATGGGGCCCTACACTCTATTGTGAAGAGTCAAAATGTGTCGAAAAAGGCACGTATGGCAATTCACAATGCTGTGTTGGTCCCTACTATGGTAGTGAAAGTTGGGTGTGGCAGAAGAAGCACAAAAGTAGAATGAATGCAGTAGAAATGCAGTCATTAAGGAGTATATTAGGGCCTGAATCTGAATGACAGGGTAAGAAATTGTGTAATAAGAGAAGAGTGTGGTTTGCAAGATGATTCGGTGGTTTGGTCATGTGGAAAGAATGAATGAGGAAAGAGTGATAAAGAAAATTTATGTTGCAGAAGTGAATGGAAGAGTCGGAAAGGGACGTCCTAGGCGAAAATTTATCGACCAAATTGGAGATTTATTGAAAACAGGCCAAATTAGGAGTACCCTTAATCGACGAGCATGTATGCGTAGGCGTATGGATGTGAAGGAGGCGAGATAGGTGTGTCAGGATCGTGCCAAATGGAAGTCTGTAGTCTCTGCCTACCCCTCTGGGTGACAAGCGTGAGTGTTTATGTATGTATTATGTATTTTTAACATTTTAAGCAAAATTTTTAAACTGTGTTTTTAAACAATTAATAAAAAACAAAGTTTTATTTCATAATATTTTAAAACCTGTTTTAAACACCTTTTTTAAACAACTTGTTTTAATCATGCCAACCCTGCAATGGGCCAGCCATATCTCAAAGAACCGACAATGGATGAAGGGGAAAGCTTATCAAATGGCAGCCTTGTGCTAGTAAGCGAAGTGTAGGTTACCCCAACCCCCCAGTAGATGGAGTGATGACCTGGTAATAAATGGGAGAAGTTGATGGATGCAGGTCGCTCAGGACAGTGTTTTGTGGCATTCCTTGGTCAGCCTGTGTTCAGTAGGGGACTTGTAATGATGATATACACTTTTACACTTTTACATAAGTACTCGTCCTCCATTGTATATAATATTCACTAATGTGAAATCTGCAGTCACTGTAATTTAGTTGTAATTCCTCTAATTGTATCCCATAATGTCCATGTCTTGATGTGTGATTGTTGCTCTCTCTATGTGGGGACCTTAAAAAGACGTGGTAAAAGCTAGCTATGCCACTTCATGCACAATCTAATACGCTTTACGCAACTGTTCTGGTGTGAAGTATCGCCATATCTTTGCAAAGTATTAGTTATCACTTTCACTACTAAACACATTTACTTGCACTTTAAATACAATATCAGTAGTCAGCCTCTGATGCGCAAGGAGATTGTTCAGGATTTGGGCATATATTTCGATTCAAAATTTTCGTTTCGTCCACATTATGAGTTCATAACCCAAAAAAGTTTCAAATCCTTAGGGTTTATAATTCGTGTAACGAAAAAGTTCTCCAAACCTCTCGCATCATTTTGATTATTTTATACTTTAGTTCGTTCTGTACTGGAGTATACTTCCACTGTATGGTCACCCTTTTATAAGGTACATTCTGACAGTATCGAGAGGGTGCAGAGTTGTTTCCTTCGAAGTATTTGCGGTAGATATGGTCTCTTGCGTCGTCTACCATCATACAACTCTCATCCAAAGTTTTTTAATGTCCAACGATTATCTTTGAGGAGACAATTTGCCGACCAAGTTTTTTTGCACAAGATTGTCCATTCTCATATAGAGCACAGAGTTGCTGTTGCCGGTATACAACAATGTGTTCAAAGAATTTTTAACATTATAGACATACACAATAATAACATTTCCTTTTTCAACCCTGTTGTCAAAATGTGCCATGATTATGACGAGATTAAGCGTAGTAACATACATATATGTGTGTGTTTCTCTTAACATTTAATGAATTTTTTATCTGGTTTATTTTTGCATAAACTGCAGTTATATTATTATGCTGTCCTATCTGTACCTACCATATAAATTTTTGTTAAAAAATGTTTTTTTTGGTAAGCACACTCACCATATACTTCACTCTCACAGAATATGAGCATGAAACAGCAAAACAATGCTGCTGTTTCATATAATGAGGAAAAAGTTTTTTTTATTTAAAAAACTTTACCTCCAAATGCGGTTTTTGTACTGTATCGTGGGGGCATTTTACGTACATAACTATCACAAAGACAAACATTCAGACCCAGAACAAGTGTTTCGCATGGTGAGTGTCGAGAACCGGAAACCTTTTTTTACTGGAAACGAGGCATTGCATCTTAGTCCTCAAGGTGACAACCTGCATTTTGATTCGTAATTGAGGATGGCTCAATTTACACTACTGCAGAACGGAATGGAAGTGAACTTTTGTAACGAAATTGTACATAGAATAAGTCTAAAATAAGTCTATTTTAGACTTATTTTAGTTGTATAAAATAAGTCTTTATGTTAATTGTGTAACGCGTAAACTAGATATGAGCCAAAAAAGAAGTCTCGCGTCTTCCAAGGAATTCTCGAAGAGTCCCGTAGCTACTGTAGGCAAAGTCTGTGGAATACGCCGGAAGTGGCCGGAAGGGCGTGGAATCTGGACTTACTTTTCTACAGCCCCAAGGCGGCTGTCGTATAGGCTGAAGGCGAATTCGCGCGTTTGCAGCGCGTTGCCGTGAAATTGACGCTTCCGTTCCATTCCGCCGCAATGTAAATTGAGCCTATATGTAAATATCTTTGGACCAGAGTACCACTTGCCATTAGGTGGACTGTCTGCTCGTTTGTCACCCTATCCTATAAAAAATATTTGTATGTCAAACAAATACTCGATTCATGCAGGATTTGAACCCATAGTCCTCAATGCTGCAAGTCACTAAGACATAACGTCACGGAGCCATTTTTTATTGGAATCGAGGAATTCCATCTGGTACCCAGGGTTGACAACGCATCTGCATTCCATTTTTGATTGAGGATAGGTGTAGATTTATATGAATTACCACATCCACTTACTTTAAATGGATTATGTACTTGTTTGTCACCCTTATAATATAAAAAAGTATTTAAAGTAATGTACCGCAGAGAACAGAATAGACAATAACTTAGAAAGCCAGATCATCAGCCTATTGAAGTATGTTGTACAGACAGTTCACGGATCTATCTAGGTCATGAGTATATAGGTTATTGAGAAGGGTCTTAGAATGGATCCTTGAGGTGCTTTTCCTTGTCACTCATGCATGAATTACATGCATGTGTAACGCGCAAACTAGATATGAGCCTGTCTATTGTCTGTCATCTATGTAACCTAATCTTAACAAATATTTGTTAAGTTAACAATTTATTTTATTCGATTGTCTGTCCATCAGTATTGCCAAATAAACTTGATAATTGTGCTTAATTAACGTTTATATCACACTTTAGGCTATTTTTGATTAAATATTTTTTTGTATTATATATAGCTTATTAGTCTGTGAGATTTCTTTATTTTTTCCATACACTATATCACACACTTTGGAATATGAACTTATTTTATTAATAATTTTTATTTTATTTAAAATTTATATTACTTTTAGTTATTAGAAATCGGTTTTCTTAAGTTAATATTTAACCTTTTAAGTTGCTTTTGTAACCTAGGAACCCATGCGGTCAGCATTCGACAGAAT